GAGCAGGTCTGGACGCAGAGGCTAGAGGAAAAATCCTCTGCCCCCGTCGGGGATCGAACCCCGGTCGTCCAGCCCGTAGCTACTCGCTATACTGACTGAGCTATCCCGGCTCGTTACTTCAGGAATATACATTTTAATATTACCTTTAATCTATACCAAGGGCTTCTTCCCTTTTAGGTTTTATAATTAAAATTATATGTTCGTATTTTTTATCTCGCCCATACTTATTATACTTCCCACATCTCATTTTTTGATTATCATCACAAAATATGGTAAAGATTAAAATTAAACTTTTCATTATTCGATTTAATCTTGTCTCCTATTACGTTTTCTGGTACACCGCTGGAACCTGATTTAGGGTGAAAAGGTCAAGTTTCACGTCCATATAAAACACATGGAAGCCTCTAATTATAGTTTCGCACATTTTTAAATGAATGGTAGCAAGTACGAGGTGCGATCGGAAGGTTTCCAGACTGCGCGTATAAAAACCCGTACACTTATCTCAGGTATTAAATTCATCCATCACCCTCGAAGTAGTTCCCCTGGGAGTGAACACAACGATCCCAGCGCCGCTGCCAAGACCCTATTTCATTTTGCCATATTTTAAGTGAAGTCTATATCATTAACACAGTTAGACAAATTAATTAATCATAGCACATATCTTGGCTATAATCTAAATGGAAGGATAATATTAAAATTGATCTGAAAGAAATCGTGTGTGAGGATGTGAATTGGATTTATATGGTTGCATAAAATGCTGTGAATTTGTTGACTGCCTGAGCTATGTCTCAAGAAAGTCTGTTGCCATAGAGATTATTAGTTGGATTAAACATAAATTTATTCTGTATATCTATTATGAAATCAAATTACGAGAATTGCTAACTGAAGTAGCAGTGATGGCATTTCACACTGCTCAAAGCGTAAGACGCACTTTGCAGATGATTCTGCTAATAACAGATCGCTTCCTTTCAGTCTCGACGCCAAGTACTCAAGAACATACAAAACAAGAGATCTTAGTGAACAATTCCAAGTTGACCTCTAAATACCAGGAACCAGCGAAGCTTCTAATTAATGACTAAGAACAAACAACGAGTAGGAGAAAGGGGTACAGAGGCAAACGGGGGTTCAAGAAGAATTACAGAGGGCTGTAGACGGTGTCGGGGGGGGGGGGGGAAAGGAAACGCACCATCATTTATCACTTTCTTGAGCTTCCTCTTGCTTAATTATCTACTCCTCCTAAGAGCTCCTGCGAGAAAGCCATCTCTTTCTCTCAGTTGAAACCATTACGAGAATGCGCCTTCCAAATTACTTCAATTTGCAACGTATCACCGCTAGCAAAGTAACTACGGACTTTGCTAAAGGCTAATATTCGGCAAACGCAACTTCCCTGGGACTGAACGCCACATAAGTTCTACTTAGAATTCTTTCGTTCTCTTAATACAAGGCGCGTCCTCAAAGTAAGTTTCCCTGGGGCCGTTTACAGAAACAAAACACAATTTTATGGAAATATTTATTGCAACAGATACAGCAAGTGTCCAGCTATTTTTCAACATATTCGCCACCGGAATTGAGACATTTGTCATACCGTGGGACCAACTTTTGAATACCTGTGTCGTAGAAGTCTGCCGCCTGGGATTGGAACCACTGTGTGACCACCATCTCCGCCTCTCTGTCATTCTCAAAACGCTGACGCTGACCGGACAGGAATTTCTTGAGGTGTAGGAAAAGATGGAAATCACTGGGAGCGAGGTCCGGGCTGTAGGGTGGATGATTAAACACCTCCCAGCTGAACTCCTGCAGGAGACTTGCTGTCTGTCGAGCCGTGTGCGGCCTAGCGTTATCACTGGCCGCACTTCACAGTCGGCGGGAGCTGGAATAAGAACCTCCCTCTTCAACAGCTGCAACGATGCTACTGTGAGAACGCGGGAGGTGCCGTTAGTGCATGCGCCATGCTACGTCATTGCTCTATCACGTACGCACAGTCGCTTCGCGCAATATAAGGTTTGCTAGCTGTGGGACGAGTGGGAAACTTACTTTGAGGACGCGCCTCGTATTCAGTCTCAGCACCGACCACGGGGAGAATTATTCATAGGCCTATATCACCATAAAATGAAGGAAACACCAACAGTTTCTTCATCGACGTTTAAATTTCAGTACATCGCAAGTTTTGAGGACAGCCCTCTAATCAAACTCTACACAAATCCGAACAAATCAGGGAAATTTAGATTTAACTGGGAAAGATTTACTACGGAATAACAGCAGTGATAATATTCATGCAGTCTGCAGGATTCGAACTCTAAACTTTCCCAGTGCAATGTAGGCCTACTGTCAATCAAGCATGAACATGTCTGAATTTTATGTCGTGCCAGTGGATCTGTGGGTAAATGTGACGATGCACTTCATCATCACTCCGTGAAGACGTAAGTGGGGATGAAGGTGAAGCTTCACGTATTCTGAGCTTCGATAATCGATTGCGGTCTGGACGTGACGTAGTTGCAAAGAATGATATTAAAAAAATCCTGTCTCTAACAGAAATTGAAACTCGGCCTGTCACATGTCTTAGTGAATGAGCAGCCTCGCCTCAGTTGCGGTAATATACCGCAATATTTCGTCAACAGGCAGAAACAATGATCTATAATCCCATATTAGGAAGCAAAGCTTTTGAATATGACATTGTGTCGATGAGAGACTAGTATGCTACATAGAACAACCTTCGTTTCGTGTATGACTGAGAAAATTTAAGAAAAAAGTCGATTAAAGTTTCTTCTAGGTAAGACTAATACTAAAAACCTGTAACTGAATTCAATCCTCAGACCATAAATTCGAGAAAATACAAAATCAATACTGTTAATATTTTTCTGTCACCCAATCTCATTCTTTTACTATTCTCTTTCAAAATTATTGTTTCGTTTTTCCTTCCGAACTCACGTCCAGCTGGAAGGAAAAGCCCTTGCTTTCGTGACGTTTCAACTACAGCAACACGGATTCTAAGCAAGAATAAACACTCCCATTTGTTGGTTATGTCTGCATAACTGCAGAAGAAAATGTCTTCATTAGAACCGAAAACCATATGTAAACAGCGAACCCCACCAGTGACCAAACACTAGAAAACTCTTTACTCTCTTATTATCATATTACTGCGGAGTAACAGCTACCACAACTCGACACTAGACGCATTCAGATTGTTGGGTAAAGCAGAATAATGTAATGGAGGTCAGCTGTTAACAAGAAACCAATGCGGTGAACAATTGCGTAAGTTTAAGATTTCGACATAAAGTTTGTCGCTCACGTGCAGTGAAGTTTTGACATTTGTGGTGACTCTTATTCAAACAATATTTTTAAACTGTTTGCCTTTCTTCCACAGAATTTAAAAAAAAACGAATAATTACATGTGATTAGGACGATGACAGTAATGGTTAAGGCGTATTTTGAAATCACAGGAAGTGTTTAACCTAATAGTTTCTTAGGAAACAGCGTTCAGGTTGGAAGAATATCCTCTTTTAGTCTGTGGGTGTAATGACAACTCTTCTTTTTCTGTACGACAAACTATGGAGAGCATATTCGTCCCTGAGAAGCTGATAGCAGCTTACATATGGCACAAATTATATATATATATACACTACATTGTAGTCGCTATGGGAGATAGGAGTTGAAGGAGACTGGATTTTGTTGGCCCAGGACAGGGTCCGGTGGATGGCTTTGGTTAATTCGGTGATGAACCTTCGGGTTCGGTAAGCCATCTAGTTAGTTAGTTAGTTAGTTACAAACTCTGCAGTGTAAGTATCAGTATGGTTCAAGTGGATACGTTTAAATATTTATTAAGTTATAATACATTACATTTGACAACATCGGGAACTAAACCAAGATCTATTGGAAGAAGTTTATTGCAGTTGAATATTGTTCTCTACTTTTATTCAGATTACAATATATGGAGTGGAAGCCTGTAGTAACCTACTTGTGAACATAGATCGTTGCATGTAGCCTGTGTATATTACACGTAATTACATTAAAACCTCATCATCTTTGATCGCAAGGTAATAAAATCATAGCAATTTTATCGTTGAACCAGTTCGT